TTTAAACTTTCCAATTCATAATTATGAGATTCCAAGTCGTCATTTTCAGTTTCAAAGTCGTAATTTCAACTTTCAAACTCATAATTACGAGATATTGGGAGAAAATGTGGAAAACTATTTACTATTTTCCTTCCATTTCACATTTATGCCCTGCTTTCTGTTGCTCTGTCCCAGAGTAAACCGGAGATTTCAGTTTGTGGTGTGGGGAACAAAATGTGAAAACATCTGTGGGGATTCAAAAGAAATTTTACTTTTCACACCTTATTTTAAAGTTGTTTATTAAACTAAGTACTCCATACACGGAAACCAAAATGGGGCCATAATCAAGCATTTGAACAACCGAGCAGCCATATTTATTTATTGTCGACAAGAAGAGAGGTCTCCGATCAATTCTTTTCTCTCCTCCATTGATTGAAACTAAAGACTTTCAGCTTGTTGCCGTTAAAGGAGCGTCACCAAACGTTAAATCTGCATGCGTTTGTGGAGCTGAGCCGTCGAACGGGGAAGCCCCCTGCGGCTGAGCGGCCGTGTTTTTGACCGTCCCATGTGCTGCCTGTGGCCAGAGGACAGCTGGAGCGTCACCTGTCACCGGGTCGCACGTTAGCGCAGCATGTCGCCCTGCTCACTCAGACGCATCAGAGAAAAATTCATCGAGAAAAGGTGGGCAAAGCTTAGCGTCACTTCTGAAAGTTTGTCGTCCAACCTGTGATTTCAGGTCATTGATTTACTGGGAACATCGATTCCACATGAAGGAAGATGTCTGGTTCAATTGATTAATCAGATTTAATTTAACCACTTTAGACTTTCTTATTCAGTAATCATAATACTTTAGAAAAGAAACTGAATTATGTATTTGCATCTTTTAAATAAGACAGTAAAAGTGATATTGCCCATAATGCCACTAAAATTATGCCATTCGAAGAGTTTTGGCTGAAACATTTTTACATACAACGATGTTTGTAACTTAAATGCATGTATCTTCAATCCTAATGATTTTTTTGTTGTTGTTTTTAGATCGAATAGACTGTATTACTAGGATCAAGTTTCCCAAACTCATCCATCGTTCTTCAGTCGGTGCCTTACTAACGGTCTGAGCCGCGTAGGAATATTGAATATGAATATGAATCCCAAAACATCTGAATTCTTCGAATTAAAGTGTATAGAAACTCTGATGTTTACTTTGCAGTGAATTATGAGTAAATATCTGAATAGAAACCAGCGGGAAAAAAAATAAAGGTCAGATGTAAATCTCACCACTTGATCGGTAAAATCGTGTGATCGCAACACCATTGTGTAATTTAGTGTTTTTCTGTTTTGTGTGGGGTTTTTTCTCTTCCCTGCTCCATTTCAGGCTCCAGCGACTGACTGACTGATAACTCGGCAGAGTTGTGCCCAAGATGTTTATGATTTCTTATTTATCTATAATCTTCATCTGGGCTCTGGCGCGTGCTTTGTCTGCGTTGCTCAACTATTTAGGTCACAGTTCATTCTCAGACGGGGGTGGAAGAAAGAAATCTGTACGAGCTGAAAATTCAAACCTCTGGATAAAAGAGTTAGAAAAGAGGGCGCCCTTTGCTCACGTTGTGCTGACTGTGGTGGCGATTAGCAGAGCCGTTTTTCTCCTGTTTTGTGCCACAGAGACGGCAAGTTTATCACTATATGTTCTGTAGGAAGGTAACTCTAAAGGCTTTACACCATAAAAGCATCATAAAGTACATCTAATATGTGGAGCAGTGAGTTTCAGGGCCACACTTAGCAAAAATTAATAATGACCCAATGAAATTACAAGAAAACAGTTATAGCATTGTGAGAATAAAGTCAGAATAAATCATAGAATTACATGACTAAAGAATAAAGTTATTGTATTTCTATTACTTTATCCATAATAATATGAGAATTAAATGGTCATATTCCTAATTTATTCTTGTCATTTTTACTTTATTCCCTTATGACTATGACTATGCTCGTAATAGTCTGAATTTATTTTCATAACACATCTTTATTCTTGTAATACTATGACTTTCATCTTGTATTTTCATTACTTTATTCACATAATATCATGACTTTAATCTTGCACAAGTTCATTCTTGTAGTATTTTGACTTTAGTAATTTTCTAAATTTTTTTTCATTTTCTCAGTTATTTTTCAAATTTTCTTCATTTGAAGTATTTTTTTTTTCACTTCCTGTGTTGTTTGCTACAAATCAAAAGCAACTCTAAACCAGTGGGGGTTTAAGCTTAATTTAAAGCAACTCAGTGTTTCAGCAGTTTTGCAGTTTTGTTAAGGATTTCAGCCTGGAGGCTGAATGCTGCTTTTCCGTGTTTGGTTCTGGTTCTGGGGACACAGAACAGACCAGAATTAGAACCAGAACACCTGAGTGGTCCACAACAACAGGTAATCAATGTATTTTGGTGCTGATCCATATCAAAGATGCCTTTGATATCGAAAAGCAAAAAGTTCTCAGTTATGATCTCACTTAAACTTTGACCCCTTCTCTTCCGTTTTGCGACCGTCCCCAACATTAGTAATTTATACCGTCCTCCTCTTTTCGTCTCCTACCTCAACGGGGAGAATAGCTGCTAAATGTCCCCTCTGCCATAAAAACGTCCGAGCCATCAGGCGAAGGAACAAACGCAGCCTAACGCCTGTGAAATCGATGCTAACTGTCTGAGTGAGCGCTGCCAGAAAGCGCCTGGTCTGGCCAGAGCCGCTATCAGCGTTTAGTAAAAAGACAGGAGTCTGAATCTGTCCGTTCAGCTCGGCGCGTTAGATGTTGCTCTCCTTTGATGTGCTTTAATGTTGAGGCTTTGATTCACAAAGAGCGGTTCTTATCACTTTCCACAGGTTTTGGAAGCCATTTCAGTCGTCACAGGTTATTGGTTGGAACCTGTAAGTAGTTGTTGGAGGATAAGTCGAAGAGTACAAAGCAATTCTCCAGCTCTGAAGTGCTTTGTAGTTAGAAACGTGCGCAGATTAGACGTTGTGGACATCTTCGTTTATGGCGTAAGATTGGTGTGTTCACCTATTTCTAATCATGTCTGATCTTAGACACAAACTTAAAGGTTTTTGGTTGAGCTCTTATCGTAAATTTAGAGATTAATGCTCTGTGGTTCAAAGTCGGTTTGACTAATTCAAATTTTCCATCACGTTCAAAGTTCCTCTTATTTTTGAGCAAGTTTGGAAAGGCCATCATTGGCACCTGGCACTTTTTATGGGTAACATCTACACAATGTTTGCTTTTTATTTAGAAAGGAAGGGAGATTTTCCGGAGAACCAATATGTACAAGCTGTTTTTATCCTCTTACGAAACAGAGGGGGGAAAATATTGTATAGACTCTTAATCAGACCACTTCACACTGTTTTCATTATTTACATACTGACCACAGACTCCAATTTATATGGTACTCTGAATTATATAAATTGGTATTCAATGATTTTTATGAATATGAATCTATAAAGTCATGCAATGTGTCACTTTTCCTCCACCTCAAGGTAATTCTTGAAGTCTGTATCACTGAATCCCAATGAATGTGTGACGCTGAATTTGACAAAATGCAAAACAAAGGAAGAAGTAGGAATACTTTTCCATACTTTGCACAGAATGCAAATTACAGATCACAGACGGCTCTGTGAAGGCGGACGAAATCCAGACCCTGAAGCGCTTTGAACGGCCCGAGGCCTTATCGTTGTGGATTACTTAATTTGCGGTTCACAGCAGAACGAAAGGCGAAATAAAGTCACTTCTGCTTCCTAGCTGTGAGTTGCAGTAATCACTATAATCTAAAGCTATAGTGAGGTGGGAATTAAAGTGCAGGTGCCAGAAGGTTCCAGTCTGACTTTGTATTCGGCATTCTGCCTGCGTCTGAGTCCGTTTGACTCGGGTGTCACTTTACACACCCAAAATTGTTCTCTTCTATAGAGTAAATGTCACATTTTTAGACATTTTAGTGTTTTTGTTTGGAATTTGCTCAACAACTCTTCGTTCAGTGAAACCCCTAAAAAAGATTTCTGCGTCTGAAGGTTCTTCTTTTCTTCGACTTGCACTAATTTGACTCTTTCATACTTTTAGGTTTTGTTTGACATGCCGACTCAGATATTGATAGCTTCAATTTTTTTTATATACTTAAAACTATTTTTTTAAAAAAAGAGAAAAAAAAACACCCTCCAGGATTTTTCATGGAAGTTGTAGTTTCAAAATTACAATCTTCCATATTTATTCTCCAAAACATTTGATCGAGGGAAAATCGACTGATTTAAATCTCTGACGTTTTGGTTGGTGCACCTTTTTCTTTTATTGCACACAATTTCACATCAACTTGACTTTTTATGGGGAAACTCTAAAACAATGAAAGATTTTTTTAAAAAAAACATGAAGTCACTTTCCTAAAAAAAAAAAAAAAAAATATATATATATATATATATATATATATATATATATATATATATATATATATATATATATATATATATATATATATATATAATAATTGCCTAAGACATATTCTGCCAAACAATGACTTTGGCAAAAAGTGACTCAGGCCTTTTTATTAGGAAGGTGACAGTATAAGAGAAACTGTAGAGGTCACCATATTTAAAATTCGTAAACTCTGAACTCTGAGACCTTGTTTACTTGAGCTGGTTGGTGCAGCCTTTTATCTGCACTCATCCCCGTGGTTAGACTCTCAGAGATGTGTGTGTGCAGGGCGACACACCTGTGTTTACAGTTTATCAAGCATGTAAACAGCGGCTGGCGCGTGTGTGTCTGTCTGTCAGCCCACTCATACATCATATACCTTAGCAGCTTTTTGTAATGAGTGGCTTTACCAGGTAAGACGCCGACTGCGAGACGTGTCATTACGTCTCTCGCTACCCTGTCATTGCGACGGCAGCCGCTCTGCAGCGGCACAAAGTCGCCGGCTCACTTTGGTTTCGCGTGTTGATCTCGCGTTGAACTATCCAGTTCACATTTCTTTTTTTTTTTTTTTTTTTATCTCTCTCAGATTCAACAGATGGACCGGAAAATGGACTCCGTCCTGCGGATTCTGACGGAGCAGTTCCCACCCAAGCCGGATCTGACGTCCAAGCCGTCCTTCCGCCGGGTGACCATCCAGAAGCGTATGGGCGCCAGCATCGACGAGGCGCCCTGAGGGATGACCGCGCCAGTGTGCAGGGCGATTAAAACACTGGGACTTCACTTCAACAGCTTAACCCCCCCTCATATAAAATATTCTCACAAAGCATCAGGGGTCTCAGTCTTCCACAACGTTCTCTTTTCTTGTTTTTCTTCTCCATCGGCCTCTGCCGGCTGAGAAGTCAGTCCAACCGACCTCATTCTCTGGACTAGCGACGGCTCCTGTGACGTCACTGCAGCACCCGATCGCTCAGCCACCAACATGATCTATGAATCTATTTCTTTCTTTCATGGTGGAGCGTACCACTCCGTGATGTTCATTTATGTGTGGCCTGTCATTGAGCAGCATTCCTCCCTTCCAAATATTATCCCAGAGCTAACTAAGCGCTTAATGAAGTCGTAATGCAATCGAAGCGCTCTGGTTTCTCGATGGCACTTGAAGGAAAACACAACCGAGCCGAGCCGTTCCTCAGATCCGCCTGATTATCTTGGCTCAACCGGCACCAACCCAACAGCGCCGCAGACACACATCCATCCGGCCGGACTGGACTCGGATTGAATCGAGCGTTTGTTTGTGGAAACTGGATAATGCAGGGAGTGGAAAAGAAAGATTACCTGTTGGTTTTGCCCCAACTGGACTGCAGTTGCAGTGGCGATGACTTGCTGCCACAGCAGTCGAATTCAACGCACCCTGTGCTTTTAAATGGATAAATAGGATTTTTTTTAAAAAAAGTATTCTGAATAATAATTCCCTTACTTGTTGGTGGAGGTAAAATGGTTTTGTTGGATTTATAGAAATCCTAGAGATGGTGGGAAGCTAACAGCTTGCAGGCGGATCCCCCTATCCAGCTGATTTCAGCAACTTGAAACTGAAGGTGTTTCTACTAACGCTGCTATTTTAGAGGATGTTGTTTCACATGAGGCTGTGGTTAATTGTGTTGCTGCTTTTCCTGCCAAACACACCTGAATACATCCAGATAGATCGCCGGAGCTTCAGACTGTCGGCTAATCAGGAGATGAATCGCCGCGTTGCAACTGTTGACGCCTTTGCAAAAATAATTGCATTCAATATTCTAATTATTGATTACTATTAATCGATAATTTAATTATTTTAAAGATTTAGACAACCCAGGTTTAAGCTAGTGAGCAGGGTTAATACAGTTAGCATCGTCAACTAGCATAACTTTAGCGGAGCGTCACAGGTTTTACACTAACAGTCTACAAACGTGACTATCTTATACTAACGTGTGAAGGATTAATAATCCCAGTTATGCTGTCGTATCCTATGATTATGGCTGCTAGTCTCAGCTAGCATCTAGGTAGCTGTTAGCGTTCCAGCACTTTACAAACTCACTGCCATGTGAGTAAATGAATTACTACCGATCACTTTATAGAAGCTGACTTCAAAAAATATTTAGTGTCCATTTACAAAAAAAAAAGAATAATAATGATAATAATAGAAGATTCAAGCACTCCACACCAATAGTTAAACTGCAAAACAAATGTTTTTAGTTTGTTTTTGTTTTTCTTGCTGTGATTGAATGTCTTGTCCAAATCTTACGTTTTTGGCGAGATTTTTATAAAGTGATTTTGAAGTGAAGATTTTTAAGAACTCTTCTTTTTTTTTTCTTATGTATGTTTACTTTACAAACCTTTGGGCAAACGACGACATCACTGCCTAATTTTGCACATGCCCCACTATTGCTTTGGGTATCAGTGGTGCGTTACGTTTCCGGCAGTTTCTGAGTTTCAAGTCAGAAAAACAAACTGACCAACTGAGTTTGGACAAATGTTAAAGATCAGATCTGATAAGGGTACGACACATTTAAAGGTAAACTTGTTTGCGTCAAATTCTGAGATAAATTGAAAGCAGCACAAGCAAGTACTAAAAATGACCTCAAGTATGGTCACGCTTCTTGAGGGCATTGTTTTTGTTGTTAGCGTTTGGCTAGTTAGCTTTTGGGCAAGTTAGATGTTGCTTCAGCCCAAGTTCTGGGTGTGAAATAAAGGCACTTTCATGCTCATATTGACAAGAAACTATTTTTAGGGAGAAGAAGAATAATGCAGAAAATGCAGGATGTTTATTTTTGGACTTTGAGAGATAGAGAAATACACTCCTGATCCTGAACTTTTTCACACTGGGAAAGAAATGATAAGTACTCGCATCTCGGTGTGCAGGACCCTCACCAGCTTGTGAGCAGAGCATCAAAATGCAAAAGGAAGGAAAAGGAACAATAGACTAAATAAATGTTAAGTATAAAAAATTTCATGTTAACTCAAACAGGCCATTAGTTGATCAAAAGCTTCAAACAATTAACTTTAAAAGGGAAAAATCAGTGCTTAAAATCTGGCTTGTATGGCCTCTTCTGTCCGGCAGTGACGTGTGATAATCATATGTGACGTCTCATTGGACATGGGACAAAGCACAAAGTCACACTGCCATTTTAAACTTATTAAAACATCTTGTGGGACAAAAAGGTGAGAGGTTACACTCCCTCAAACCTCCCTAAGGATCCCACAGGCTGAACACAAAAACACTGACAGGCCCAAAGTCAAGGCACTTAGTGGAGCTGATTTCAGACTAAAAACCTTAAGACAACTTTAAAAACATCTTTAAGGACTACATAGCAGGTAAGTAAGTAGGGTTTATTTCTGAAGCTTTTCATAGACATAAAATCACAGATTGGTGTACGATAAAAATCAACTCATCCATATCAATACATGAAACAACAGCAGGAGTCATCAGACAGAGGACTCTACCACAAGAACGTCGTCCTGATGTTGGTTTGTTCTCCATGTTCTCTTAAATCACAGCATTTAGGAGAACATGGCAGACGTCAGCTCCCGGCTTCAAAGCTCTACTAATGCAACCGGGTTCAGATCCAGCAAGGGCATTTATCGTATCGTTTATCAATTTATCGTGATTATTTCCTTAACGTGATAAGGATCTACATGTATCGTTGTCACTATAAATTCCAGCTAACGATGTGTAAAGGCCTCCAAAGCTGTCCGTATTGTTTGGTTTTTACTGTTTTTCTCCACCTTTGGTACTTTTTGTTCTATAAATGTATCAATAAACATCAATGAATTAAAAAATTTAATAATAGACTCTTATAGTCAATTTTATCGATGTCATACCACAAAACATTGCGATAAAATTTTAAGCCCAGCAGCATCAAAATTTAATTCTTGTAACTTTTGTTGTGAGCTGGAGTGTGTCTGAATAAATATTATTTTTCTTTGTTTATTTAAATATCTGGACTCACATAATTGAGTCGAATGCTGCTTTTTTATTGAGATTTTTAAAAAGTTCTTGTTTTGTATTTCATCATACTGGCTTTTGGTGGAAAACAGAGAGTCGCTCAGCTATGTTGCCATTGTAATGGAAGGCCTCTCGTAATTATAGCGTGCATTTTCCTAAAGAGACGAACGCACGTAAATGCGGGGTGAACAAGGGCAGCAGAAGAAGAGGATTTTCTCTGCACTAGTATGTATTTTTATATTTGCGGTGGTTGAAATGACCTGTTATTTATCTCGTATCACATAAAGCAGTTGGATTTGAGCAGAGCTCTCGTTGCTTCTCCTGTACAGTTTTCTAAGAGTTGTAAATAGAAGCATTGCCTTATTGCACTGTGTTTATAAGGACGTGAAAAGATCAACCCAGGATGCGTCTACTTGTTGGAAGCACAAGAAACGCTCTCAGACTCCTGAAGTCAAAATGTGTAAAAATCATTTGAAATGCTATTTAAGACGTTCCCTCTTTATTATAGCTTTGCTGTAAATAATAAAAAAAACCTTTTCAGTATAAAATGTTGCTCTCAGCTCGTCTGTTACTCTTGGAAAAAGTATTCCTACCTTGGTGAACTTTTTTACAATTTGGCAAATGCCACCAAAACTGAACAAATTAATGTTTGATTGTGAATTTGCTAGAAAATTATGTTGCAGTGTGTTTGCAATGAAATCTCAAATGGTTACAAAACTATATCCCAAACTCTGAGAACCAAATGGAGCACTGCTTAGTCCATCATTCAAAAAAAAAAAAAAAAAATTCATACTATTTTTAATTTCAATTAAAAAAAATTTCTTGTTTTGTTTTCTAAAAAAAAATATATATATATATATATATATATATATATATATATATATATATATATATATTTACACGACTGGAAATATTTTCAAAAAGTGTTTTTTTTTTTAATCATCCCTTCTGTGAGGATATTTGTTTAAATTACAAGATCATAGTGATAACATTGGCAGAATAAAGATGCAATTTCTCCAGAAAAATATCTTAAAATAAAAAAAAATAAGTTGCTTTAACATGAGTAAAAAAAGTGTCATCAGGATCCAGTGGTTTAATTTGTTCTTTGAATTTCTCATTTAAAAGTCCTGCTACTTATCATTGGCCACTGATGTGCTAAAAGATAAGTTATGTTATTTATTTATTGCCTTCCTAAAAAGAAGTAGCTTAAATCATTTTGTGCTAGAAGGGATTTATTTGCCTGAATCATCTTTTGGCTAAAACTGGCTCCAGCCATCGCGGGAAAGCGACGATTTGTAAAACCGACACCAAAGTATAACAAGGTGCTCAAAATGCCTCTTTTTAAATTTTTTGTATTGGCGTTCTCATAAAATCACTACTTCATTATCTTAATATTACAACTTTAATCTGGTGAAATAAAACCACAACATTTTCTATATTCATATATATATTTATATTCTAATATGAGCTGAATTTTAGTTGTCAAACAAGATAGTAGGTGGGGGAAAAAAATCACAATTTTCTAAAAATTAAATCTTCAGAGCCCCAAAATTTGATTAATCGATTTGAATGATTAATCGGTTTTAAAGATTAATCGCCGAGTCCTAGAAAAACGTCAGTTCTACTTTCCACCGTAAAGGAGTGAAGAGAAAAATTAAAAAGTAAAATGACTTTTTAATTTAAACCTCACAATGGAGTTAGGCTGAGAAGTAGAGGATCTCTCTCACATTGCGACTCAATTACAATCGTCTTCAAAAGCCAAGGAATACCGGGGATGTCCCAAGTTCAGCACCGACAGGAGAAAAAGGCGAGACGAAGCAGAGGAGAGACAATAAGGAAGATGGTACCACCCCGATGAGAGAGGAAGGATGATTTGAGGGCCATTTTCAACACATACTGGGATATGTCTGGATTTATCGAGATATATCTGGATTTATCGAGATGTATCGGGACGTGGTCCTCTGGTCCCTCTTGTCCCGTCTCCCCCGTTCGGCTGCTGCGAGTGGATTTTGGCAGCGAGAGAGAAAGAGGGGCCCCATGGCAAGAGGCAAGACAGCGCTCTGAACCTTTCATCTCTAGAGAAGACAGAGAAAGACTCCCACTTCAAAAGATAGTTTGATCTCAGAAGTGCACAAGAGTGCAACCTAAAAGAGGATCTGAGGAAGCATTTAAAGGCAGAATATAAAGGGCCGCAGTGTTGCAGATGCGGGACGTGAAAGTACAGTCTGGAGGAAGTTTGAGGGATTGTGAGACGGCAGAGTCTCTGAGCCTCGTTGATGATTCTCAGCCTCTTTGTTTCCGCCTCCTTTTCCAACGAGAACAGAACTGATTTTCACGGGGCTGGTGAAAAGCTGCTTCAGCCTATGACTTGTTTTTTTCACCCAAACTAGTTTGGGTTTCCCCTATATACTCTTTAAGCCAAGTACATACAGAAATCATGAATGAAAACACACATAATCCTGCAAAATGTATATATTAATGTCTTTATACTGTGATTCCTACGTCAGATTGTTTGCTGATTCTGTTTCTGATGACCACTGTCATCACATCACCTCTCTGTCTGTCTGACATCTTATTTGATCTTCCTTTTGGGTTAGTTATGATGATCAAAATTATTTCCATGTGCTAAAATGCCAGAACAATCTGAATGAATCTTTCAGAACATTTCTTTAGTCAGGGTGTCCATGCATCTTTAAAAAGACTTAAATTAAGGCCTTAAGATGTAAGTTGACCTTGAATATATTAATCACAGACCTTCTCGCTCATACTGTGTACTTTGGGGGGGGAGGGGTTTCTCGCAGGACTTCTCCGCACGGAGTTGCATGTTCCTCTGTAAGTTCTCTCTGGACTTGGTCTGTCACTGTAACACATGTTGCTGGACAATAAATTGTCCTAAAAGTGACTGAGGCAAAGTAAATCACTTCACGGAGATTTGCTTTCAGTTACAATCTCCTACCGCTCTGAAGCACATTTGTCTGCTCCTCTCTTTTTATTGTTTTCAGGATCCTAATCACAAAGACGCTGTAGCTCTAAAGGGAGGGGAAACAACTCATCACACAGCTACAGCGTCAAATGTCATTCACTAACTAACACACAATTATTCTGCACTAGATAATCTCCTTCCAGGCACAAAGTTAAAACAGAATATGTAGTCAATCTTCACAGTGACAGTGTTGTAGCAATCCAGCAACTCAGACGAAGCAGAGCTCTTCACCAAGAGATAATACTTCAGGAAAACTGTCTCTGCTTTCCATCAGTGAGGCCTTCTGAGAAAGGAATCAGAGCAAATCAACAATATAGAAACATTCTTAATCCTATAATGAGATTGAACAATAAAAGCATAAAAGAAGATAATACTTTAAGATTATATGAGAATGGCAAATCTTTGATTAATAATATCACAATTTCTCCAACACTCACCACTTTAAAAAAATGATTTATGTTTCAAATTGAGGTAGAGGAATGAAGAACAATTCGACAGGAAACTGACGCAAGAACATTCTCTCGAAAGATCAATAAACCTTTGATTCTAATAAACGTTTGACGCCGGATCTAGAAGACACTTTAAACATCCAATGTAAATAATCTAAACAGCATAAATAATCAAAACCACGACCAAAGCTGTTGTCCAGTTTTTGGTGGAAAGAGAGAAAAGAGAAAAACGATAATTCGTGCAAGTGGAAATTATTGGTCTCGTTTAAATTTGTTATGGCTTATCGACGGATCTGCCTCTCGCCCAGTGACCTCTGCTTGCTCCTCCAGATCCATGTGTCAGATTCACGGCCGAGTAGGAAGCGACCAGCTTCAGTTCCAGGAATGTCCTCCGCCGCACTTCCCTTCTTTATTTAGAGTAAACACCAACTTCAACTGATCATATTTTGCCTGTCATTTTACTTTTGATTAACCTCCTAAATATTTGATTATGATCCTTGGTCAGCTGTACTTTTTCAGCATTTGGAGGACCGTGGCTGTGTGCACAAAGACTGTGACAATAGGTTTGGTCACACGTCTCTTTAGCGTATTCCTCAGGTCAACAGGAGGACATCCCCCTTCGGCTGCCTGGAGCCCGGTAACGACACAAAATGCTCTGACGAGGAAGAAGCTTCAAGACAGAACTAGCTCACAAACACACAAGAACGTTCAACAACAAGAAAAACATTGAAGGTTAATTAGCTGAAAATTTCCTGCTGGCCTCGGTGCATGTCCCCCAACATTCTTCAGAGCGAATAAAACCTTGACCTCAGATTTTATGGCAGCAGTTTCAGTAAATTCCAGGACACTATGAAGACCGATGAGATTGAATGTCGAAAAAAATAATAAGGTTCGTTAAAATTCACTTGCTTACCTCGTGGGCACAATCGGACCAGTTAGCGTAACTGAGAAAATCCTACCAGCTGCATTTCCGCAGATCATAAAATCGCACAGTTTGACGTTTCAAAAACCAAACTGGAAACGCGGCAATTTCAGAAAAAACTCTGGTTTTTCCATAAAAGGTTTTAGTGCTATGGTGATGTGGGTTTTTTTTTTTTTTGGGCCAAATTAACATTGATTTATTTCACTAAGCTGCAGTGGGAACACTTTATGCTCCACAGCATCCGAGTCACATGCCAACGGCGCGAACCATGAACAAGACAACTGCAGGAAGTAGTTGGTGGATAATGGAGCGGCGTATTTTTTGATGCCTTATCGGGGGAACAGACTTCCTCACAAGTGATTTTAATTGCATTTGTTCCTTAATGGAAACACACCACAATTGCAAAATTGTGGGGTTTTTTTGTTTTTGTTTCAAACTTAGTGGAATATAGACAAAGTTTTGTGGACGTTTGTAATGGAAACGCAGCTAG